CAACTACAAACCATTTTAGACAGGAATCCGAGCTCATTTTGGCTATATCTGTCAACAAGTTCCTACTTGGGCTCCAAAAATCGATTAGATTTCTCGTTTGAGTTTGGATTGGAAAAATTCCAAAACTATAATTAAGTATGAACGTTGGTTCATAAAAATCTTCTTTTCTTTTTGATTTTTTTCACTGTTAGAAACACCTGCAAACGAATTCTTCTACATATCTCAACTCTACACTACCCTTTTTTCTCGGTGCATTGAAAATCTGGGAGAACTACAAATAATTACAAACAATTTTAGACAGAAATCCGAGCTCATTTTGGCTATAGTTGTTAACAAGTTCCTACTTGGGCTCCTAAAATCGATCAGATGCTCATTTGAGTTCGGATTGGGAAAATTCTAAAACTACAATCAAGTATGAACGTTGGTTTATAAGGTTCTTAATTTTTTTCACTGTTAGAAACAACTACAAACAAATCCGTCTACATATATCAACTGTCTGCCACCCCGTTTTCTCGGTGCATTGGAAATTTGTGAGCACTACAAACAACTACAAATGATTTTAGACAGGAATCCGAGCTCATTCTGGCTATAGCTTTCAATCAGTTCCTACTTGGTCTCCAAAAATCGATTGGACGCTCATTTGATTTCCGATTGCGAAAATTCCAAAACTACAATCAACTACAAACGATTGCAGATAAGAATCCCACGTCATTTCAAATACAACTATGAAATAGTTCCTAACTGTTAAAAAAAATCGATTGAACACTTATTACCATTCCGATCGTGAAATTTCTAGAACTACAATCAACTACAAACGATTGCAGACGAGAATCCAATGTCACTCCAGCTCTAACTATGGAATAGTTCCTAACTGTATTTCAAAAACGAATTGGACGCTCAATTTCAAACTACAAACTAGAAAAACGTTACTACTATCACGCGTAGCTCAAAATCTATCAATTATGAAATTTTGGTTCAAATCCAAGCAAGTGGGGTGCCCACTTCACGGAGCTCAAAAATACTACAAATCGAGGGCTTTCAGATAAACCAGAAACCTTTCCGATAAATTGTTAAATAATAGTATTATTAACAATTGAATATTATAAAAGAATGAAGAAAATCTGTTATCACTAGAATTACATTTCCGGTCAAAAAATAGACTCAAAAACAAATTTTGTAAAATTTGTCAATAAACAAGGCCAATAGACAAAAATTGTCACTTGTAGTACCACAAGGGTGCCGTAAGGAATCGATTGAGCCATGGTGAAAATCCACTCGAAAATATACTCAAAAACGAACGATTTATTGTCAAAAATACCGGAAATAATAATAGAAATTCAAAAAATGTAAAAATTCAATGTATTACAGCATATGTAAAGTATCTCAGTCTTGGGGATGAACCACATGCAATACGCAAGGGAGCCGTTGACGCGCTCCCCACTTATTCAGTCAGAGAGCTCTACGTTCAACGCGGCATCCCCACTCACTCCCACTACTGCGCTACTGATGCGCCAACGATCGATTCCGCACACACCGATAGTCCATACGCCAGGGCCATTTCTGTGTCCATTGACATTTTTCGTTTTCCCCATTGCGTTTTATGGTTGGACTTTATGTTTTCGGGGTCGCTGATCACGAATATGATAACCGTTTTTGCGAAATCACGGACCGTCTATTTGTTTATAACAATTTAATTGTTTAAAACGCCCTGTCGCAAAAACGGTTTAAGATAGAAAAAAATGTTTCAAACAAAGAATGTTCCTCATATCAAAAGGAACATTTTTTGTCATATGACTTGGTTCCCTAACTCTTATCGTTGAAGAGTTATTGTGCGTGGGAGTAACTCAGGCGGTGCGCGACCACTTTGGCGCAACGGAAGCGCGCTTCAGGGCGGATTATAGCGAATCGGTCAAAGATAGGGCAAAATAGTTCAAATCAAAAAAATTTGTTATTAAAAAATGCATCAATCAAGTATGATACTCTTCACACTATCTCCAGTAGTTAATGAGATATTCGCGTTCATGTGCACGGTGGCGGGTCAAATGAATCGTCCGTTTCGCATTCAACCGTAATTATCTCATTAACCATTGGTGACAGAGACAAATATTTCATCACCAAATAGATGCATCACAAAATAACAAACATCTTTTGTTCGAAATATTTGTCTCTATCTTCATTAGCTTGAGAGATATTTTAAGAGAGTCAGACTCCGACTACGCAGTCCGTTTACTTGAGTTCCACATGCACTCTCGAGCGCCCGGTCGACGACGAGTGTGGACACAGTCTTCTTCGAATTGGCAAACAAAAGCCTTATCTATATGTTTTGATTCTGGACCTTTTCAATGAATTCAGTCACATGGGATTGGATGAAGAGAGATTTGGATATGCCTTCGTTGAAGACGACTTAATCCCTAGGCGCATTTCTGAACTCATTCCACCTGCACATCAGCTAGTACCCAATTGCACATGTACAAGTTGTGTCAAAGCAACTTGCATGTGCTTTTTACATAAAGTGTCCTGTTGTTCTTTTTGCACCTGTCAAGATCAGAAAAAGTGCAGAAATCCATATAAATAGAGTTCTCATATCCAACAATTCCTGTTGTTTCCATTAAAAGTGGTTCGGAATGAAAAAAAAAAAATTGTCAGTTCGAAAATGATTTTCCTCCCCAGAAAATGAAGATAGAGAAAAATATTTCGAACAAAAGATGTTTGTTATTTTATGGTGCATCTATTTGGTAATGAAACATTTTTCTCTGTCACCAATGGTTAATGAGATAAATACGGTTAAATGTGAAACGGACGACTCATTTGACCCGTCACCGTGCAGATGAACGAGAATGTCTCATTAACTACTGGAGATAGAGTGAAGAGTCTCATAACTTAATTGATGCATTTTTTAATAAAAAAATTTTTTGATTTGAACTATTTTGCCCTATCTTTGACCGATTCGCTATAATCCGCCCTGAAGCGCGCTTCCGTTGCGCCAAAGTGGTCGCGCACCGTCTGAGTTACTCCCACGCACAATAACTCTTCAACGATAAGAGTTAGGGAACCAAGTCATATGACAAAAAATGTTCCCTTTAATGTCGGGAATATTCTTTGTTTGAAACATTTTTTTCTATCTCAAACCGTTTTTGCGACAGAGCGTTTTAAACCATTAAATTGTTATGAACAAATAGACGGCCTGTGATTTCGCAAAAATGGTTATCATATTCGTGATCAGCGACCCCGAAAACATAAAATCCAACCATAAAACGCAATGAGGAAAACTAAAAATGTCAAGGGACACAGAAATGGCCTTGGCGTATGGATTACGAGTCGAGGTACCTCCAGTCGCAGTGGCCTACGGTCAGTTCAGCTCCAGCGCTCGAAGTAGCCGGTCATAGCTCAAGAAGAGCTCCGCGAAGTGAAATAAATTCAGTAAAGTGTTTTTCGGACTTAAAAAATTCGCGAGTTTGTGGACTTGGTGAAATTTTCTTAGTGTCCCCGTCGGGACTTGGAAGAATTTTTACAAGTGTTGTGTACTCTGGACTTAGAATTATTTACCTTGATTTGTCCCCTCTGGACTTAGAATTATTTCTCGATCCAAACTTAGAATTTTTCTGTCACTTCAACATCTAATTTCGAACTTCCCATTCACCAAATAATTACTAAAATTAATTCAGGAGTTTCATCAAGTCCACAACGCCTTAATAAACAAATTTAATCCGATAATCCGTTGAATACCCGGCGGTGCCTGAACTGACTAGGAAACTCGGCTTAAAAATCAAATAAAAATTTGAAATTAAAAAATCAATTCAAACATATTTTGTGATCGTGAAGTGAATTAAAGTGCGAATACCCTAATAAATAAATTCTGAGAATTTTGTCGAGACGATCTGAAAATACTTTGAACATTGGTTCGGTGTTTTTAGTGACCCCCACAAGAATCCTCACAATACAGTTCATACTTTTTACCAGTAGATCAATTCTGAGGATTTTACCGAGATGATCTGAAAATGCTTTCAACTATGGTTCGGTGTTTTCAGTGACCCCCACGAGAATCCTCAAAATTAGCTTACATTTTAAATTCATGAAGCTAATTCGAGAATTGTACCGAAACGATCTGAAAATGCTTTGAACTTTGGTTCGGTGTTTTTAGTGACGCCCACGAGAATTCTCGCAATACAATTCATATTTTATTTTCCGCAAAACTTAAATTTAAAATTCGAATATTTCAGTGATCCTAACCAGGTCAGCTCCAGCGCTGGAAGTAGCCGGTCATAGCTCAAGAAGAGCTCCGCGAAGTGAAATAAATTCGTCCTTGAATATCCAGAGCTATTCTCAGTGAAAAGGAAAAGCAATTACAAACTGAAAAGTGAAAATTTATTCAAATAAACTGAAACCAGTGATCTAGTGAGCTTTTGTTCAATCGTTGCCTGCCGTCGGAAGCGAGCCGTTGTCACCCATCGGACGAGTTATCCCACAGAGATCCTGCTGTTAGAAGCGTACCTCTGTTACCCGACGGACAACTCTTGGTACCTTTTGACCCAGCCCTTGCAGATCGAGACTCTTTGAGACAACAACGCAGAGTCATTAACTAGCAGAGGTGAGTAAAATGAAGACAACAGTTTATTTCTCTTGTCCCGGAGATCATTTGATACTCCAAAAGCAGAGACATTTATTCCCGGATCAATAACGAACACGAATGAAGGATGGCTTTTCAACCTAGTTACGGCAAGTCAAAGGGTAATCGACTACCACTCAACGATTATTTCTTAAAAATTCGGCTTCCAACTTCTCTTGTTTGTTCAAATTTTAATCAATAAAATAAATTTTATCATTTTATTTAATTTTATCTCAAATCAATTGGGAATACGTAACAGAGTATTTTACTTGTCTATAGCTATGATATGATGATATTTGTAATTGTTGCTGAATAGGCTCATAGGTATCGGGGATTTTTTTGACAGTTGCTCATCGTTCAATCACATCCTTCAAATATAACATCTATTGCCAGAACCAACTATTCAACTACGCCTTGGTCACGTTACCAATTTTAATGGTTTATTAGACTCTGTCAATAGAGTTACCGAAGTTCTCGCTATATCTCATAAACGCGGTTACAGAAATTCTCAAATTACTCTAAAACGAACATATTGGTAGCGGTTACCGAAATTCTCAAATTGCGCGAAACGATGATATCGGTAACGGTTACGGAAGTTGCCAGTATCATATTCATCCCCAAAGCAATATATTTTCTATGTATTTCATACGAAGACTCATTCCAACATCACATCAAGCGTTTCAAGTAATCCCGTCCAGTTTCATGCCACGATGCTGTACGAAATGTAAGATATCCAATTTTTTATTTTATATCTCTGATTTTCTGAGCCATATACAATGTTGAATCGAAGTAGCTCAGACACCGTATTTTATGAAGAGCTAACTCTGATTATGCAGATGAAATAGAATTGTGAATAATGCAGTCATTCCGATATGATTCAATATACCTACACTTCATATACCATTCAGTTCTACATCCTTACTCTAATTTCCAAACTCTTCCCTTCGATTGATTCTGAATAGTGTCACCAAATTTATCAATATGTTCCATATACAGTTACCGAAATTGTCAAATTGGTGTGGATCAATGATATTGGTAACGGTTCCAAAAATCAAAAATATCATGTCTATCTTTATAATTGACTAATTAGCTCTTGACTAATTATCCTGTCCAAAATATTTCATTACAGCAATATAATTTCCATTTTTTATAGCTCTTGATGGGCTCTACAAAAAAGGTGATGAGCAAAATTCCGACATTTCCCTTGGATTTGGAGATATTGTTCGAAAACGGTCAACTGAGCGAGAAGCTGAGCCGCAACAACGGCTCAGCCGAAGCAGTAAAACCGTTAACGCATTAACGGTTTTAGTGCTTCGCCACTGAATTTCGTACAGACAAAATCAAGAAATGGTATGAATGGAACATTAGCTGATGGGAACAATTTGGGAAAATCAGGAGAAGCAACTATTCTTAAGACATTTTTCATTTGCAGTTGATGTTGAGAACTTTCCAGTGATAGAAAGAGGATATCAACCAATGCTGAATCAAAGAATGAAAGAAGGAAATCTTGAAAATAAGTTCCAATGTAGTCCAATAAGTTCCAAATAATCATTTTGAAAATCATGGCTTTCGTTTCCGGTGATATGAAAGTTTAGGCAAGATGCAATAAATAAAAGAATGATATGGAAAGAGATTCTCAAATGTGGATTTTCAAATATCTTTTCTTCCTCGGATGCTTTCAATGATTTTTCTTTCGCTGACAGTTGAATCTGTCATGGGGAAACTTCTCAACATCAATTACAAACGAAAAATATCTTAAGGATAGTCGGTTATCCTCATTCCTCCCAATTTCCCCCATCAGTTGATGTCCCATTCATACCATTTATTGCGTTTTTATGTACAAAGTTCAGTGGCGAAGCGGTAAACCATCAAGTCGGCTTAGTTTCTCGCTCAGTTAATGTTTTTCGAACAATATCTTCAAATCTAAAGGGAGTGTCGAAATTTTGCTCATGACCTTTCTTGTAGAGCCAATCAAGAGCTATAAAAAAACTATAAGCAAAATTTTGCTATCTCTCGTCGATTTCAAGATATTGATCGAAAACTGATAGCATGATTTGTTTCTTCTTTACCCAATTAATTTTACCACTCCAAGAAAATCATACATTTTTTCTATTTCATGAATAAAATATTCCCATATTTTTTCAAAGAAAAAAAAAGTGAAAATCGGTGAAAAAAATTATTTTCCAAGAAAATTCCGGTTTAATGGATTCTAATAGTGTAATGGCCCCAAAAATAAGATATTGAATTTCGATGATTTAGCCACGTTTCATGACCTTTTGAATCATCCTGAACCGTTTTCGAAGAAATGTTGGTGTGTGTGTGTGTATATGCATTGTTACGAATTCTCACTAGATCGGACAAAAAAAATGGGGATTTAATTTTCCGACGGATGAATTTTTCGATTCATTAAAGTACACTGTCGCGGTACGAATTTTTCATTTTAGGGAAGCCTAAAGTAAGCGAAATTCGTCGAGCGGTAGCCGAAAATCACTAATCTTGTCGAAACTAGGTTCACAAAATTCATACCCGCACTATCACGCTTTCCGAATTTTCCGCGAGAACCGAACAATTTATTTTCAAAAGACTCTAATTTTTGGAGTATCAACCGACCTCCGGGGTAGAGAAAATAATAGTTTTTATCACTAGACTCACCCTTAATTTTTCGTGACCGGTCTGGCAACAAAACAAAGAATGTACACCGGATCAGTTGTAACCTCTCGGATGATAGAGGTGATCTGGGCCGTCGGAAAAACTCCAGCTTTCCTCTGACAGGCTGGGTAACGTCCTTTTGCTACACACCCACACGTTCAGTTCCTCTCCTTTTTTTTGTTTGGTAAGTTTTCAGTTCTTCAGTATATTCACTTTCAAATTGTTTTGATTTAATTCACGGGAGCTCTTCGGAGCTTATGACCGGCGATTTCAAGAGTTGGCGTTGAACTGACTGTTCGCTCCGGCGTCGGGAGGTACATCGACTGAAGAAACGTGGCGCACGGGGTGTCTCTGGCGCGCAAGAGTGGGAGTACTGCGTTGAGCGGGCGGACTTGCTGCCTAACAGTGGAGATCACGCGTTGAGTGTACCCCTATGTATTATGTATGGCATATGGTCTAATGCTGTGGCACCCACTATTCCTTTGCAAATTCGATTTTACATTTCATTTTAACATTTTTTCGAATTTTAAAATTGTTTACGCCATTTTACATAATAAATAATTAAGTTTTTGGGGAAATTTCAAGTTTGATTGTCACTATGGCTTCAACGTTTCCTTATGGTGCCCTTATGGTGGTACTGTAAGTGTCTATTTTTGTCTATAGACAATGTTTTTTGACATTTTTGACGAAATTCATTTGTGAACCGATGTTGATACCAGGAATAAGATTCTGATGAAAAACATTTATTTTTTATTTTTTATAACATTTTAATTGTTGATAACCATGTTATTTGTTAATTTAGGCGAATGCCTCCTAGTGTGTCTGAAAAATCTTGAGTTATCATTCTTCCACACAGAATTTCAGATTTTTATCTCTGCAATCTTCGGAGATCTTCGCAATTAAGGATTTAAACTTGAAAATATGTCTATTAGCTTTTTACGCCATGTTTTATAACTTTAAAAATTCCAATTATCGCTGGTTGTATTGAGAATTTAGTGAACTATTTTTCGGTAATTTTTGTTTTTGAATATGTATGTTTGTTTACAAGTTATTAGCAATTAAATGTTAAAAGTGTCTAATGACCTAATAGTTGAAATTTTTTTATTTCAACTGTTTCGATATTTTCCTTCATATTCCTATTCTCTGCACTGAACTCAATTTATTTCATATTTTTCCTGAATTTTCCATCGTAATTGACATGTCAATAGATAACAGAGTTGTCTTTTGACCTTTTGAATATTTTCTTTCATAACTTTGTAGCTCTTGATTTATAGTAAATTTTTCATCTTAAACTTTTTTCGATATTTCCCATAGGAAAGTCTGTAAAAATTCCAAAAATTTAATCTATTACACGGATACACGCTTTCGTATGAGCGTGTGTGAATTTTTTAAAAATCCATAACTTTTTCGTTTATGAATATTAAGGAAAATTTCGAATGATTCTGATTTTTACCAATGTTTTCGGTATGTTTTATATCTTTTGTTTTATAACAATTGAATTTGTTTATTGATTTTCATTTGTTTTTAATGGCGGATCTTATAGTCCGTATTTTATAGAGCAACTTTTGTCCCACGAATTTTTCTCCATCTCTATTACAGATGGCGCTACCAATTTTCAAAGTTCACGGGCACACGGATACAGATGCGTTTGAGTACGCGAGTGTAGATTTTCAAAAATTCATATCTTCGCTGCTTACAGAGATTAAGGAACAATTCATAGCGGTTCTGATGGAGGGTTTAAAGATCTCCATTTCATGATTTTTCANTAGGGAAGCCTAAAGTAAGCGAAATTCGTCGAGCGGTAGCCGAAAATCACTAATCTTGTCGAAACTAGGTTCACAAAATTCATACCCGCACTATCACACTTTCCGAATTTTCCGCGAGAACCGAACAATTTATTTTCAAAAGACTCTAATTTTTGGAGTATCAACCGACCTCCGGGGTAGAGAAAATAATAGTTTTTATCACTAGACTCACCCTTAATTTTTCGTGACCGGTCTGGCAACAAAACAAAGAATGTACACCGGATCAGTTGTAACCTCTCGGATGATAGAGGTNATTTTTCAAGGTAATTTTCATATAATTTGTTAATAACAATTGATTTTGTTCATGAATTTTTGCAATTTTTGTTAGTGGATCTTGTAGCCCGGACTTTACTGAGCATCTTTTGTTTCAAGTATTTTGTTCTATCTGTCATATAAATGGTGCTATAAATTTATTAATTTTTAACAGACACGGACACATGTTTGAGTTGTTTAGTGCATTTCTTTGATAATTCATATCTTTTTTGTTTATGAAGATTAAGAAGCCGTTCACGGCTTATTGTTTAAGGATAACAAGGCCTTCCTTTCATGATTTTATCTGATTTTTATGACAATTTTTCATATATTTTGTTTATAACAATTATGTTTGTTAAATTATTTTTTAAATCTTTTACTAACGAAAATGATAGTCCAGATTTGATGGAACATTTTTCATTCCAAGAATTTTTCTCGATCTTCAGCCCAGATGGCGCTATAAATTTTCAAAGTTTCGGATACACACAGATATATGAATTTGAATGCTTGCGTGTATCGATTTTCGAAAATTCAGAGTGTTTTTGTTTACAAGGATCAAGGAATGATTTTTGGTAGATATTTTTGTTATTATGGACTCTTAATTTGCAAATTATTTTGAGAATTCTTCATCAACAATTTCTGCTCNGGCCGTCGGAAAAACTCCAGCTTTCCTCTGACAGGCTGGGTAACGTCCTTTTGCTACACACCCACACGTTCAGTTCCTCTCCTTTTTTTTGTTTGGTAAGTTTTCAGTTCTTCAGTATATTCACTTTCAAATTGTTTTGATTTAATTCACGGNTTTGTTTACAAGGATCAAGGAATGATTTTTGGTAGATATTTTTGTTATTATGGACTCTTAATTTGCAAATTATTTTGAGAATTCTTCATCAACAATTTCTGCTCGTTTATAAACAATTATTATTTTTATTTGACTTTTTCCATCAAATAACTTCGGAATTTTAATTTTTAGATCATTTTTTGAGTTTCATGCCTTTGATGTTTCTTTTCAAAATTATAAAAATCATTTTTGAAATAAATTTTCAAGGTTTTTCATCATTATTTCAAAGTGTGATCGGAACACAAAAATTCATACTTTTCATTATTAAGTAGTGTGAAAGATAATCTTTTGAGACTATTGTGATAGTTATTTTGTACGCGTTTTGACTTATGACGTCATATTTTGTGAGACATTAAATTTTCAGTAAAATTATTGTTTTACGTGGAGAAGTTGTTTCTTTTAGTATTGTGATATTCTTTCAAGGATCTATATAAATCTACGTTATTTCAGAACTTACACATTTTTGTCTTTTTGCAGAATATTTCCAGATTTCAAGAATTTCCCTATTCAAGAGATTACGTTACTCGTCCTCGCGGCTCCTCACCTGCTCCAACACTGTTACTGAGTTTATCTTCGTCATTGATCAGCGAGCTCCTTACTGGTCCCAACTGAAAAATTAAATGTATTTTATGTATGTGCAATGACTATCAATATTTCAATAAATAATATCAGAGTGAGAAATACTGTCCCGTTCTCTATCCTAGTTTTATTCTTTTGGTCCTTCATTTTTCGCTTTCTGACTCAAATGTAAATTCCTGATGTGTTGATGTTGCAATAAATCAATAAAGTATTTTTTGTTCTTATTATTTCGTTGTTATTTCAAATTATTGAAATGAATTGTCGGAGATTGTCCGTTAGAATTGTCTAAGGCTTATAGCAGAATATTTATTTCATTAAGGACAGGAAAGTCTAGAGGCATTTTTTTTATTTACTTGCTATATTGATCGCGTGCGTGAGATTTCCAAAAAATTGACCAGAGAGACTTGCTTTGATCATTATTCATGTAAAATTGTATGAAATCTTATTATTTGAAAAATTATTTTTGTTTTGTTTTGGATAGCGTTTTTTTTTGGGAGAAACGTATGTGAATACGTAATATGACGATGGTGGGAGAGTTGTTTTTGTCTGCAAAATGACTAAAACAACTTGAAAAGTAATTGCTTGTTTTTAGAAAATTGTTGGAAAAAAAAATTCATTTTTTTTTTCGACTCTTCAAACATTGATACAAAATACATCAAACATATATGAACCTTTGTGGTATATTTGCCTGTCATTTATTATAACCTTTGAATTCTTAAGTTTGTTATTTTCAAATGATTTAATAGACGGATTTATAATACGTCACAGTATGTATATGCGTGCCTAGCTCCGTATGTGCCCGAAATTTTGTCCAACGATTTCTCAGGAACAGATGATTCGATTTTAATTTTTTTTTTCAATTGATGCGTCTTTATGAAACTTAGAACTGATTAGTTATTGTTCAAAAGCAATTGTTCATCTTAGAGAACACTCTAATTTTTTCAGAATTTTCCGAAACATCAAAAATTTTGAGTGGCCCACTAGACGAAGAATACTCCATATACAGGGTGTCCCGCAACCGACATTTTTCCTTGAAAAAGGTCTATTTAGAGAGGGTGCTTTTTTAAGTGGAAAGTTCCTCTTCCATTTTTGGATCCTAACATTTTTTTTTTGGTCTTTTTTTTATGAGACATGATCTTGCAACTAATTGACCAGAGATAACGGAATTCATTCGCGAAATAAATCAGTATGATTCACAATTACTTGTGATTGGTCTTAATTTTTACAATTATGTTGATAATTGATGAGTCATTAATTATTTGGGGCTAAATTAATTCTATTAATTCAATAATTTGAAATTTATTTGTTTTATTTACTTTATTTTTTTATTTTTTTTATTTTGGGGACCCGTTGTTGGTGGCGACGGCACTGGTTGCTTTTCGCATGCTCTCCTGCTTTTTAGTAAAGTTTTCAATTAATAAGTGGGTTTTTTATTAGACCATTTTGTCTATGAAGGAATTTTTGCCTTCTTTGTCACTTTGAATGATAAATTCGCACTTCTTTTTGCTTGCTAATTGCTTTCCCGGTGTTTTTTAATCAGGCTTGGCCGATTTGGAGGTTAGCCACATGGTTGTGGCATGGGTGCGAATTCGATACCATCGATCAATGTACACGACGACGACTCTTCCATAATCCACGATTCGACCCTGGAGGATTCAGGAGAGTCTACACTCATAGGTCTCTCCAACGATAAGGTCTCACCCAGTCCACCCCAGCTCAGTGACTCTCCATCTACAAGCACTCCACTGTCCGAAATCTCCTGGCGCAACCTGGCGTTTGGGAGTAGAGCAAGACGAACCCCCTTGCACAGGCTTCGTCTTGCTCTACTCCCAAACTCTCACATCAGGGCCCGATCAAGGAGAAAAAAAGGTATTTTAAAGCTGTTTCCAGGGATTCATTCCCCCGCAGTAACTCCATTGGCTCATTAAGCGAATATCCTAATCTTAACAAAAGGAAAAGGGCAGAGGCTGAGCAGTGTTCATCGAATCTTCAGAGCTCTCTTACAACACCCATCCCCAAGAGGCTCAATCGTTCATCCAGTATCCCTGATTACCTCCTTGATTCAACCTCGCCCATGTCCGTCATGCCCAACCCTCCCCTCTTCCTCGCAGCAGTTTCGATGTCCCTCACTCTCAACCCTCTCCCTTCCATTCCTGGTCCTGTACTTCTACCTCAGGAGGATCTATAAAAATTGCTTCACAATGGCACTGACAGACGGATTATGGACACCATTCTACGCAAAATGAATGAGCTGTGCATGCAAGGTAATGCCAGAATGGACGCCCTTGGAGCTTATCAGACAGCAACTAGAGGAATTTAAGGCGATTGTAATCAAGAAAATGAATGGGCTACGCAGCAAATCGCGGCAATATCTGGTGAGATCACCTCCCTGGAAGCAGAGCTAGAGATATTCCACGCAAATTATGCGATGTCAAAATCCTGGGCTGACAGAATCGTCAAATTAGAGCAAAGTGGGGGGAACGCTGAGGTTGAGTCCCTCAAACGAGAGTTCAATTAACTAAACCGCAAGCTCGATATCCGGAAAAGGTCGCTCAGGGCCAACAACTTGGCTGTCAAAGGACTCAAGTATGATCCTTCAGACCCCAAGCCAGCAGTTGTGAAATTCTTCTCAGAGTACTTCCAACCTCAGAATGTTATTCTAGAGGCCAGAGAGGTGGGCTCCAACTTCAAATTTCTCATTGTCAGACTTATTATCAATCAGGAGACCAGAGACAGAGTTATGAAGGAAAAGCACAAACTAGCCAAGCATCGAGACCTCAAGGTTTTTGTAGACCCGGATCTCACCCCCCAGGAACAGAAGATTTATGCCTCTATCAGAGCTACTGCTAAGGAGCTGAGGGGCAAGGGCCACAAGGTGAGACAAGGTTACAGCAGGCTGCTAGTGGATGGTGTGGGTTGGCAATGGAATCATGCTGCTGGGAAACTGGTGAAGAGCAGCCAGCCCATTCCTCTCCCGAGTGGCGTCTTCCCCTTCAACCCTTCTACAACTTCGTCTGCAAAAAACTAATTACGCTAAGTATTAGGGGAGGTTGGGGTAAAATGGACACTTTTGACTTTTTTTAAAATGTTAATGAGGGGCTGAAATGTTGATGAAATTTAATAATTTTCCTTTCAATACAAAGAACAATTCTTTCTTTTGTGACGAGCCTAACCTAAACTCAATTGAGAAATTTCTTTCTGAGTTATGAACAATTAAAAAAAAGTCTAAAGTGTCCATTTTACCCCACCCACCCTTAAATTCTGGAACGTGAACGGCATGAATAATAT